CACACACACACACACACACACACACACACACACACACACACACACTGGTTCCTGTACTGGGTTTGCTTTCTCTGTCCTGGAAGAATAAAAGCCAGAATTCCTGATAACACACCAGTTTGGACAGTGATTGTTTCTGCCTAATAATGCTTCATCAGGCAAACAAAATGCAGTGTCTAGAAAACTTTGAAGATCCCCAGCAATTCTCAGTTGGTAGTAATAGTTACTGGAGGAGGACTGATGGGGGGAGTATCTTTAAGTGGAGAGAGGTATGTGTGTGTGTGTGTATGCGCAAATGTGAATACTTGTGTGAAGTGGCAGTTAGAAGTCTCAAGCCTGACAGAAGCTAAGACAAAAGGGTCAGGGGCTCAGGCTGGGAAGAAGTACTGGATGGGAGTGGGGGAGTGGGTGAGGGGTGGGAGTGGGATTGGAACCAGGAAGGGAGAATTGTCGTGCTGCCTGGAATGTCTTTTATTCCACCCATATGCCAAGCCCCGTGCCTTCTCCCTCCTTCCAAATTCCACTCCAGATTCACCTCCAGTTTAATCCATCTCACGAGTATTCTAGTCCCTCTAAAGAACGGCCTTTAGCACACACATCTGCAGCTGATTATGCACAGACGTTAGTTGTTTAGATATGATTTGTGCTAATATGTACGAGGGTGCCCTGTTTCCTCTTCCTCACCCTCTTTTCCTCCCACTCTGTAGGATCCTTGAGGTCAGCAAAGAGCCTCTTTTCCCCTCAATTTTTATAGCACTTAATATATTCTTGACACTTAGTGGCGACTTAATAAATACTGATGACTGATTCTTCTTACAGGGTTAAGTAAGACATTAACCCCAGTTAGATGAATACAGTTACTTCTCGAAATCCTAAATGACTCACTTGAATAATTAAATATCTCAAGAAGTCTCAAATGAAAGAGCTCTGGACTGCGGCAGAACAATGCCCTAGAAGCAGTGGAGCAAACTGGTTAGACCATAGCTACACCTCTTGGACAGAACCCCCAGCCCTCCCCCCACACATCCATCACCCTACCTCACCTCACCCCAGTAGCCTCTTGCTCGTCTGAACCCATCTGCCTTCCTTCTTAACTTTCTACTCTCCAGCTTAGGACTTCTATAAACTGTTTTCAGTGAACAGTGAAATTTTCAAAGAAACCTCACCTAAGGAGAGCCCCCCCCAAATAGCTTAGGCCATGACCACACTGCCCACATCCTCCACGTAGCTCTTCCTGGCCACATTGTGAGAAACATGAGGAGAGCTCAACCACATGATCCCCCAGCAGATTTCAGATCTGGGAGATAACCGGGGGCCAGGCACAAAGCTGACTTCTGGATAACTTGCGTTTCCCCTTAGCTGCCTGCCTCAGAAGACTCTCCTCTCCATTGCCCCACCCCAGTGCTTCCTTCAGCTGCATCAGATTACCAGTCAAGAAAGACCCAGTTCTTCTCTTATGACATATCCATGTACCTATCATCTTACTCCCTATGGGAAGAGAAAAGGTTGTTTGAAACTTTGGTTTTGCTTCTCCTGGCAGACACAAGCTAAAGCAAACAACTCAGAAGTAACTCTCATCTCATCTGATTTCAAAGTACTAGTGGATATATGGGAAATGTTTGGATCATTGCAAGGAGGCCTATGTCCCCTCCACCCACCAGTGCTCCTGAGTCTCAGAGAATCTCATGCAAATTCAGGCAAGATGGAATCCCATCTTATGTCTTCCAGGCAAAAGCATCATTAAGCTCACTTAAAGGTTGCAAAGTCTATGCTTTACCAGTGCTCAGAGAAAGTAATTAGATCCCCAAATTTAAATGTGTGTATATACACACACATTCACACACACACACACACACACACGCTCACACTCACCATCAGGAAGTTGGTGCAGTTGAGATGGTAGGTCACTGAAATATTCATGAACCAGCGCTTCCTGGGCAGAGACTCGGTCTCTAGGAAAGCCTTTCAGCATTTGAGATGCCAGGTCTTCAGCTTCAGGAGCCCTGCCCAACCTAGAGAAGTAGGAGAGAAAAGTAAAGCATCCCTCTGAAAGATAAAAGGGATGGGTGGTCAAGAAAAGGAGATAGCTAGAAGTATTTCAGATATAAATTTCTTGGGATTTCTAGAGTTGATGACAAGTGGAAAAAGGACTCCTTAGTAACCTGTTACTAAGATGTAGGCAAAATCTCAGCATCCTATCATTCAGCTCTCTGTCCCTCCACGAATTCTCTGGGCATCATGTAGATATTAAGGACACAGAATTGCAACTATAGAAGCAGAAATATATAATTAAGGCATCTTATTTGAGGGACAAAGTAGTCTCTACCAAACAGAAAAAATCTGATTGGGAATCCCTTCCTGACTCTGAGCTCCAATTCTGATTCTGCATACACAGAATCCAGGAGAGAGGTAACACTGGGGAAGTTTGGGTGGAAAATAACCTTCCTTACAGTGTTTCTGCAACTTAGCTTCTGAGATTATTACCTAAAGCTTCTTGGTTTCTCCCAAGGGGTCTACTCTGCTATGGGAGTGTAAATGTTCCTATTTGATATGATTTATCAAGTGTTATTTTTGGGCCTGGGAATGTTAAAAAATTTTCCTCTTTAAATTAAAGGCAATAGGGTTCTATTTTTGGATTGCATAATCCTATAGCCTAAATTGTAGTAAGAGTGATTCTTCAGATTGACGTTATATTGGCTTATAAACTTGCAGTAGAGCATATCCATTAATTTAGCAACTGCTACATGCCAGTAGGTGTGTGGGTTTGGGATATCAGATAAGATTTCCTTCTGACAGTTGTGTACTAAAGGAGCTGTACACTAATCGAATCATCATAGAGAGGCATAAATATCACTGTGAAAGAAAAGTTCCAGCTATCTAACTTAGAATGGGAAGAGGTGGTCAGAGGTTGTTTTTCTAAGGAATAGGCATTTATGCTGAGAATTAGGAGCTGAGGCAGGGAAGGGTAAAGGATCCAGGCAGAGAGCTGTGGGTTCATTCAGACCCTGGAGTGGAGGGAGAAAGTGTTTTGAATGAAGGGAAGAAAGGCCAGTGGCTGGGAGGGCCAGACATGAAGTCAAGGAGGGCAAAAGGGATTGATCTACAGGTCTTGTGGGTCTCTATGTATCCTGTTATAATGCTTGAAAATCTTGACTAACCTAGACCCAATCATTTAAGAATACTTATCTCTAGAGCTTACAGAAAGGTTTACACATGGAAAGCTGCCAGGGAGAAGGCCATGCAGATCGAGGGTGGGTGGGGGGAGGCTGGAGGGGGAGAGTGAGGACAATTAACCACAAGACTGATGATGCTGGACATTCAGAATTAAATTGCATAGCCATGCACCTTGCCAGTGAAGCAACACTAGATGGGTTTACTTAATGTGAAATACAGGTGCCAACCTGAAGCAACACAGGAGAGTTCAATTTCCTTTTCAGGTGCAGTGAAATTGGAAGTCTTGGTCCAGACTTGTAATTTGCCTAAGATTTACATAAGAAACTTTCAGATATCTGATTCCCAGGACATGAAAGTGTTTCTACAGATAACTTTGCCCTCAAACTCATAAAAAATTGCTGGTGAGACAGACATATAAGATAGAGAAGAAATTTGCAAATCTCCTGTCCTTGCAAATTTCCAGGCCAGTTAGCAGAGAAGGGAAGCAGGTTTGGAGGCCTGCTCAGGGGGTTGTGGCCTGAAGAAGGGCTGCTGAATACTTTCTTCACCCTGCCCTAGCACAGGTTTTTAGGATCAATGAAATGGAGGGTTAGAGTGAGAAAGCTAGTATAAATTATTAGGCTGAAAGATTCAGGGAAAAGCTCATAAAAATTTTTTAGCTGGTCCACTCTTGCTAGAATAGTGCTAAAATTGGGGTCTGAACCCACTCTATGAGTTTCAGAGGAATGGGTGGGTATTTAGGGGGGAATGATACATCCATAGGTTTCCACCACTCAACCCCATCAGTGATTTGTTCTCTCTGCACAGTCGTGCACATTGGCTCCAACAATAGAATTGTTCTAGAATTTCTCTGTAGGAGCAGCATGTGAATTATAATCTGATTGGAAGGAAGGTTAGGGGGTCTGTTTTGAACTTGAGTTAGCATGGCCTGCATACTGTTTTTATTTACACTGTGATTGTGTCAGTGGCTGGGGAAGTCAGGAAAGGCTGATGGAGCCAAGGGGGATAGGTTAGTAGGGCCACTTAGAAGAACAAGCCATTTTCCCCACACAAATCAAAGAAAGGAGATTGGTCCTGATCAGGATGTGGAGACTTCTTTTCTAGGGCTTTTCTATGTAATATTGGCACAACACTATTAACTAAGCTTCAGGCTTTATTCAAATATCATTGTTTCTTCTTTTTTTTTTTACCTCCCAGTAATGTCTTCTTTGTAGTTCTAGGGGAGTATCTTTTCTTTTTTTAAGTTTATTTATGCATATAGAACTGGGCTACCAGCCAGAGGTGCAGGGGTGGTGAGAGGATTCACCAGAGACAGAGGGGGAGCAGAACAGGCAGATGGATGAAGTACATTGCTGAGGGGAGCAGTGGGCGGGTCAGGAGAGGTCTGCTGCACCATATGGGTCACTTCCGGGGTTGGGGTGGACACATGCTGAAGTGGCTTTAGCTTTTTAGTGCTGTGTTTTAACCTGCTGTGCCTCCAGGGAGGGCCTGAGAGTACCGTTTTTAATACTGTTAGCAAAAGACGTGGCAAAGCAGACACACCCGATAATATATCTAGCACTAGGATGAAATAACGTAAGAGATGCTGTCCTATAATTTTCCCAGCATGAGTGTGACCTTACTCGGCCCATGTGCAAAGCCCACTGCACCACTGCAGACCTCCTGTAGAAAAACCAGTGTAGAAAGCTCAGTCACCTGACTCAATGGACAAAACCACAGAGCTCTGCAGGTGAAGTCTGGTCAAAGTTCCACCACTTACTTAGCTTGATGGCTTTGGTCAAGTTACTTAACTTCTTTGCGCCTGAGTTTTCTCTTCTTTGGGAGAGATGGAAATGAAATGGGAATGAAATTTGTGAGGCTTACATGGAATCATATATGCAGTGAGGCACACAGCAAACACTCCACTTAACATTAGTCCTCTTTCAAGGACAAAGCCATTCTCAGAGCCAGGCACTTGCTCATGTGATTATCTAGAACAGTACTGTCCAGTAGAACTTTCCAGAGATGGAAATATTCCATCGCTGAGCTTCCCAGTGTGGTAGCTACTGTTGCCACATGCTATTGAGTCCTTGAAAGGCAACCCGTACTACGTGGCAATTGACTATTACATTTAATTTTGCTTAGTTTAAGCCTCAACGGGCACACGTGGCCAGCAGCTACTCAACTAGAAATGCCTCTAGACATGACCCTGGCTCTGAAGATCTGAACAGAGGGAAGCCAGAAGTCTGCGCCACGGTATCGCTGGGAACAAGACAATGGCAGAGGTGGCGGGGATTCTGTGTGGCCAGAAAAGCCAAAGCCATCGGCAGCAAATTCAAATACTGCTCGGCTCCAAGAGGACAGTGAGACAAGGGCAGGCGCTCTGTGGCACTTTCTTCTGCCGTGTGACGAATGTCAGCAGCAGCAGCAGCAGCAGCAGCAGCACAGAGTACACAGGTGGTCTGCAGGTTTGGCGTTGCCATTTATTTTGGAAGTCAGCAATGGAAAGCAAGCAAGCCACCGAGTAGCGCTAAAATCCATGTATCGCTAGCGGGAGGAGCAGACTGTGCCGGAGAGAAAAGCAGCTATTCTTGAACACAGTGATAAATAGCAGTGCCCTGGAACCTGTCTCCAAAACAACGGGGAGTTTCAGGTGATACAGGGCGTTTGAAACCGAGAGTGGAGTGTGCGGCTCTCCCGGGGAGACCCGTCCCCCCCAGTGAGAGATCCATGGTAGTCGGCAGCTTTATGTTCCGACCTATTTTACTCTTTGTACTCCCGTACGCAGTCTACATGGAAGAGAGGCTTGTAAAGCCTATGAACAGTTAAGTGTGGGGAAATCAAAATTTGGTTAGGTTAAACTCTACCACATTTTCAGGGAAGAACAAGGATCAAATGTTCAGTTAGGATCTTGGCGGGTGAAACCCTTTCCCTTCTCCCCACCTGCGAGAGTGTTTTTCTTTGACATTTGAGCTGGTTTCCCCTGTCTCTGATGTTTTCCTCACTGCCCTTTTTGCCTCCTCACTGAAGCAAAAAGAACAGAGCCTCAGCTAATTACTCTCAGATCAAATAATACTGGTTATTGTAATTGGTCATTGTCCGAAAACACTGAGCTCTTCTTAGCCCTGAGGTTGCCTGGCACGGCTTAGTTAGCTAACTATTCCCGGAATGTCTCTATTATCTGTTTTACTTTGCAAAAGAAACTAGGGATTTGTTGAAAGCTGGTAATAAAAGTCTGCCCTGGTGTAGAAGAGACTGCGTAGAGAGGGCCTGGGAAAGCATGACCTCCATGAATCAAGCCACCCCCCCTCCAATAGCCACTCAATGATGTTATTTGGTTTCTCTGTGTCAGAGAATAATAAACCCACTAGGTTTTCTTGCAAGCCAACACTCCCTCGTTCTCAGGGCTTCGGGCATGGATGAGGGGGCACGAAACAATTTTAATGGCCAAACTCACTGCAAGTAAAATGGTTCATAGAGAAAAACTAACAGATTCACAGGTTAGCTCTCTCAGACTCATCTTCCTGCAACTGGTGTGCAGTGGACTGAAGTCTAGGGGAGCAATACTCCATCCCTGCTGGAAGATAAGCTTTGCAAGGTGGGGCACTTACCTGTTCCAGACATTCTGCAGGCTTTGAGGCTTAGGCAGTGGAAACCATTCTGGAAAGCATGCACAGAAATGTCAAAAAGATAAAAGTTGCCTTAAAATCTTGTGACCAAAAGTATTAATAAAATTCTAAATGCTCTTCTTGGCTTCGGGCAAGAGAGACCTAAGGTATCAGGTAATCAAACTAGATTTCTAAGCTCCCTGAGTTTTTATGATTTGGTGGAAAGTCACTATTATGGGTTAAATTGTGTCCCCATAAATTCATATGTTGAAGTCCTAACGCCAAGTACCTCTGAATGTGATGTTATGTGGAAACAGGGCTGTTGCAGATACACTGTTAAGGTGAGATCCCTAGGATGGGCTTAGTCCAATATGACTGGTGGCCTCATAACAAGGGAAGGTTTGGACACGAGATAGACATGGACAGGGGAAGAGGCCGTGAAGAGACGCAAGGGAAGGAAGCCATCCTCTAGCCATGGGGAGAGGCCTAGGGCAGGCCGCTCCTCAGAATCCTCAGAAAGAACCCACCTGGCCAACACCTCAATGTCAGAACTCACCTCCCGAACTGCGAGACAATAAGTTTCTGTGCTTGAAGCCACCCAGTGTGCGGTACTTTGTTATGACAGCCCCAGTGAACTAATGCAGTCACAATATTCAGTAAAGTCAACAAACATTTATTTAACATCTGTGTGCAGAGCATGTACTGATTGCTGGGGAGAACACAAAAGAAATCAAAAGAAATCTCCCCACCCTGGCTGAGCTTACAATTCATTTGTGAGAACAAAGCACACAGGCATGAAAAGTCACATGACAGATGAGGGAGCCGTCTCAGAGTCTCAAAAGTGGGTAAACGTTAAAAGTAACGGGGCTGATTTTATATATCACTTGAGGCAAAAATGGAAGCAAATCCTGGCTTCAATAATTCAAAATGTATTCAAAATGTAGGATAACAAAATGTGTAATGTCTTTGGAACATTAGAACACTGGTAACATTTACTACACAAATACATGTGTTTCTGTTATTCTTGGTAATGATACTGTTTAACCCAAAATATAATCACCAGACTAGGAGTCACTTCTCTCCTTCAGTCATGAAGTACTAACTATATGTCTGCTCCAGGTAAGGGCCACAGAGGCACCTCAGAGGATAGATGTAAGCTGGCACTCCGTAGCCAATTCCTCTATTTCCCACTCCAAACTGAGAAAAGCGTATTTCAACTCTCATTCAAATGTTTCTTCCCTTATACTATGCTGGGGCTGTAAATGTAATTGTTTTGTTTTAAAATATTTCTTCCAGTTCCTGTTGAAATGGAATATGCCAAGTCTGTCTATCCAACAAAGAATTTAATCACAACTGCTCAAAAAACAATTTTAACAACACTGTCCTGTGTGTCTATATGTGAATGAAGAACGACAAGAGCACCTGCCAGACACTGAGAATGGTTAGAGGCGTTTACCCTTTTCACGTCTATGCTTATTTTCTCAAAATGTATTTTCTTTAATAAAGAACACATTGTTTTTTAACTTTGAAAGGAAGTTCAATGGAAATGGAATTTACAGTGCTAAGAGTTGTAGAGTAAAAGGAGTTATCAAAAGAAAGTGATTTAAGTTGTTTTCAAGGTCAGATGCAATCAGATGTGACTCATTCTGCTGATGTGGCACAATCCCAGGTGGGCACTAAGGGAAGTGATTGTCTATAAGGTTATTTACTCTTTGCTCAGATGATTGGGCCTCAATTCAAATAACCAGTAAAGATAAGAATATCTGGCATTTGTTTAGTATGTTTATTTCAAAACCACTTTCTGCTGCCTCCTTATGGGTCTTTCCACCCAAACAAAGTAAAAATGTTTCCTGTTTCCTCATTCAGTCCTATTCCAATTTCCAGTAAACACAATGAAATCCATTCAATCTGCTTCCATGTCGTTTTCCCCTTCTTTAAACCCTATGTGATGGGCTTTGGTTTTTTTTTTTTTGGATCCTTAGTATTTTGATAATATTTCTCAGTTCAGCATTGTTCTTGTGCAACATGGTAGTGGAAGTAGCTGGATGAGGGTTTAGGGCTTGAACCTGCTGCTTCAGGTTCACTGTCCTTGGGCAAAGTATCTTAACTGAGGACAATCTGTTTCCCTCATTCAAGATAGAGTTCATACTTGTCTCGCAAAGACAAAGTGACTCATGGAATCTGTGGATTCACTGAGATAATGAATGTAAAGTGCCTGCCTGGGAGCAAAAACAAAACCCTATCTGCTGCTCTTTCCTTTAGAAAGTGATGGGCAGCGTCAAAGGTGTGTGACTAGGGGAGTTCTGAATCCACATGACACCTCTTCCCAACTTAACTTCTTTGAATCTCTGCTTCCCCGCATGCAGATAAGGAACAGTTGGTTCGCTTGCACAGCGCTGTCGTGAGAGGAGAGCCGTATAAAACAATACTGCCTCAATTTTGCCTCTTTTCCTTCTGCCTCTCTCTTGTTTGATGGACAATGCTTTTCTCTCCTTTTCTCGCCATTATTTCTGCTTCATTGTTCCCCGTGAAAGCCTCCTATGACTTGCTTTTGCACTCTACTGAAATTCTGACTTGTTCCAAGCTGCATGTCTCACCAGCCTGACTCGTGACCTCAGCGTGAGCCAGAGGCATGTCTCTTAGTTATTGGTGTAGCAACATGAACACAAAACATCCATTTGCCACTTATGAGTTCTGGGATGTGGCGGGAAATTACTTCACCTCTCTGGTTCAGTATATTTAGAAGTCCCCAATTCTGTCAAATGGGAATAAATTTCCAGTTAGCTGATTATATTAGATGAGATTGAGCGCTTGGGCTGTGTGTGTGTGTGCGTGTGTGTGTGTTGGGGGGTGGGGTGGGGGGGTGCTCAATTAATGGCAGTCTCATTCCTTTTTCTCTTCTTGCTTTACCTGTCATTGTGAAGGGGTGGCTTGGTCTAACATGGTTGTTCTCAAGCCAAACTGCACTTGAGTGTCATGTGGGAGCATTTTGAAAAGGAAGGAAGCCTTGGCTCCACCCCCCAGAGAGTCTGATTCAATGAGCCCAGGGAGCCTGTTGTGTTGTTATTGACGTTAATGGTCTCCAGATGTTTCTAGCATGGCACTGAGGCAGAGGACCCTGGTCTAGCAAAAAAGGCGGGTCTACCACTCACCAGCAACTCCCACACACTAGTCACAGCCTCATTTCCTCAAGTAGCTTATTGTGAGGATTTAATCAATCAACGGATATAAAAATTGCAAAACATAGTGTCTTGCACACACTTAATATTTTCCCAGGATGTGCAATGCAAGCATGACAAGGGAAAGATCAGGTCTCATAAATTCTACTAGTAGAAGGTGGCACGGGAGGGTTGCTTCAAGAGTAATGACATTAACCTTGAGGCCCCACATCTTACACCATGCCTGTCTCTCCCACAGCTATTCTGCAGCTATGTTAGCTGAGACAGAGGGCGTGATATGTCCAGGATCCATTCCCTTGCCTTTACTGAGCAGAACCAAAGCCCAGGGCCTTTTTGTGAACTCCCCCTCCCTGCCCTCCGCTTACACAGATAACCTGGTGCTGAAGACCTTGTCTCTCTCCCATTGATTTTTCCCAGGAGTTAAACTCCTAGAGGTCAATGAAAGAGTGGTCCACAAACAGGCATTACACAGAGCTGTCTAAAGAGGAATCAGTTTTTTTGGCCTCGAATATCTCTAAAAGTAATAATGGAAGTAGCTCATTTCCCTTCTTCCAAAGATGATGGAAGACTTTTCTCTGTCTCCTTTCTGCTGTTCTCTGTTTAGAAGTTCTCATTTGGGGCCCTCCCTGGTGGTGCAGCGGGTTAAAGCACAGCACTAAGAAGCTAAAGCCACTTCAGCATGAGGTGATCCACCATGGTGTGGCAGACCTCTCCTGTCCCGCTCGCTGCTCCCCTCAGCAGTTTGTCAGTCGGCCTGTTCTGCTCCCCACTCTGTGAATCCTCTCACCGCCCCTGCACCTCTGGCTTGTACCCCAGTTCTGTATGCCTAAATAAATAAATCTTTAACAACAAAAAAATAAGTTTTCATTTGAGTTCAACTGCAATCTGAGGTAGGAAAAGCAAAGTAAGTTGCAAAAGGCAACTGGAAGAGCTGAACATTTTAATTTCCCAACTAAATGCACTGGTTAAAAACCAGGGCAGAACTGTTGTTAACCACAGTCACATAAATGTTTAAGAAGCTCATTTCATAGCTGATTCAGGTATTGTAATGTTAATCCATAAGAGTGTTGGTGGCTAGATAAAACCAGCAACTTTGTGAGCCTAAGCTCAAGGTGAAACATTTTCTAGTTACTAGAGTCTTGCCACACTCCACCAAAGGTTATCTCACAGTGCAGTCTACTGAACTACTCCTCTGGAATTTCCTGAACACAATGCATTCTTGAGATACCATATATTTAAATAGTTGATAATGTTGTTAGCCTTATTCCACTATCTCAAGCGGTAACTTTAAAAATGCATTGCAAAAACCTGTCACTCTTCTCCTACCTCTGTTTCATCCCCACCCAAATATATACTCAGGCTGTAGGGTAGATGGATTAAGCAGGTTTTTTTTTTTTTTTTTTTTAAGATTTATTTATTTGTACATACAGAACTGGGGTACAGGCCAGAGGCTCAGGGGCGGTGAGAGGCTTCACCAGAGACAGAGTGGGGAGCAGAACAGGCAGATCTACGAAGTACACGGCTGAGGGGAGCAGCGGGCGGGTCAGGAGAGGTCTGCCACACCATGTGGTCTCCTCCGGGGCAGGCGGGAATCGAACTCATGCGGAAGCGGCTTAAGCTTCTCAGTGCTGTGCTTTACCCCGCTGCACCACCAGGGAGGGCCAAGTGGGTTTTTTATGCCACTAAGCTCTGTGGCTGTCACCTGCAGCCTTGAGGATGTAATGCAGAAGGCACTTGAGAGTGTGGGCATGGGCACTCGTGCCTGATGGTGGACATCTGGAGCATGGTTGTGGGCATAAGTGTGCACACCTGAGTGGCGTCAGAGGGCTCTGGGACTCTCCTTCCTCCATCTGCCTGGATCCAAAGTGAACCT